TAAGTTTGAGCAAGGATAATGCTCTAGGGTCATGCCTCGAACCTCGGCTTCAGCCTTTTCCTCACCCGTCGGCCCTTCAGCCTCTTCAACATCTACCACAACGAGAAGCACTAGAGTATTCCCTGGCGAGTCCACCCTCAAAGGCCCAGCAAAATGACACTCAAGGACGTCACCCCTTGGCCTGGTGTACCTAGTGTTCTCATTAACGGAGTCCATGCTTTGATGGTCATGGTCGGCTCATCGAGATGCAACCCTCTCTCGCAAACCTTCCACACTGGACATTCGAGAGGATCCCTTGGAACTACTATTGGTACTATCACTCCCGTTGTTGGTGCTAGGAGTACTATTGGGATCACTCCAATCTGGAAGGGTGTAGGCCTCAGGACTGGAATCAAAAGTCTACACAGTGGAACACGAAGCCTTACCAAGAAAATATTTCTACAAAGAAAAGGATTGAAGAAAATTTTATTAGGAGCCGGGGTAGTCTGAGAAACTCCAAGCAAGTGTACTGTGGACAAATGGTGAAACCTCTCCCGTCTCCCCCTCTTTTCAAAGGGAAATGGATGACAAAGATTCACTCTATATGATGGTCATAAGTGAACCGCCTCACCCAATCGTGCCGACGGCCTCCACATGGCATCGACCTTGAGGGACAAAATGATGTAAAGGCCCGAAGTCGGTTTGCCCATCATTCCCTGTTCAACATATACCAAACCGATGTGACCATTCAGCCATCTGTCCCAAACACATCTCTTGAGCAGCCAAAGCAAGGCCCATCCAAGGCATGACACTTTGATCGATGAATCCAACGTCCATCCCAAATGCGGTTATTAGGCACTAGAAACAAGAACCCTTATGAGACACGGTGACTCAACCACAACCACGTTGATCAATTCCGCTCGCAATCCTTGAACAGTGAAAAGCTTGACAAAGATATTGGCAAATCTCATTGGTCGAGGCTGAGGGCTTAGCATAAGTCACTCGCAACCCTCAACCTTAGACTCGAGAGTGGGGGTTAAGTGATGTAGGTATATTTGCTAGGCTTGCCAGACCCTGACACGTGGCATTGGCCAAGGGTATTTTCAACACAGGAAAATCTAATAAGGGCAATTGGGTAATTCCCGCCCTTAACAATTACAGAGCACTTAATGTGGGCATATATTTTGGGAACATTTACTCTTGAGTCACTAATTAGGGGGTCGTGGTCGGCCAACGCCTGCTTGAGTCCCCCTACGTGACCGCAATCTCCGGGATGGTTATATGTCGTGCATTACTCCCCACCTGAGCAACTCCTACTATAAAAGGGATGCTACAACTAAAGATGCACACACATAGTTGAGCTATCACTTACACTCTTGCAGTGACCTTAGCTTCTTTTGAGCCCTCGGCTAATTTGACTGTCGGAGTCCTCGACCCTAGGAACACTCCCAAGGCCTCTAATGTCTTTTCACTCTTAGCAGGTGGGACCTACAACCCTCGGACCTTGGAAATTACTATTGGACTTTAATGTCATTAGAGATTAAATTCAATGGGGTTTGATTGATCAATTACATGAAGAAATACATCTGCACAAATATCTAGGAAAATAATGTTTTCTCTTATTAAAATCAGTTTTCAATTTGTCCTATATTGGAAAATTACGGAACTTGTTTTAAGTTTTTAAATAGGAGCTTATTTACACTCCTTAGAAATATAAAGAACAGAGTATGTAGGCTTGCTACCGCGCAACGTGTGCGCGTGTGCGATGCAATGATGTGCTTTAGAGGCACAATTTGATGACTTCAATGGTCACAATCCGATCGGGTGTGATCAAGAGGCACTATTCAAAGTTAATAGTCATTAACTATTAATTAACTTTTAACAGTCACAATGTTTGAAATTGTGACTATTCAAAGAGCATTTTCTGAACTATCACCTTCCTCTTCTCCATGGCTCTTCAGAAACTATTTAAGGAAGGTGAATCGAGCAATTGAACATAAGWTTTTGAAAAATCACTCTTGTCTCTCTCAATTCAATCTGCTACTATCTCACATAAGGTTTCTTTGGAGACTCTTCAA